CATGCTTTTTTGTTTTCCAGTTGCCTATCTTATTTAGACAAATCTTATCCCTTTTATTGGAGAGTTCAAGTGCATCTGCTACCTTTGCTGCTCTTCTCCAATCTTTAATTGCCTTGAATGGGTTTTTAGAGTGATATTGTTAGACTCAATTTCCTGGTCTGAGATAACATCAATAGATTTCTAACAAAGTGCACATAAAAATATATGTCTTCTCATCATCCTTAAAGTGTGCAACCATTCTTATTAAATTGACTTCATTTTTTTTATGTGGTATGAGCATACTTTTCTCTCATATTCTGTTTTTTTCATGAAAATTTGAACTAAATTTCCTATTTGCATTTCTGAGTATTGTTTTTTAGTTTTTTTGTTATTCTCTTTCTTATTAATTTTTTGATTGCAAGGTAATAATTTTAGGACTTTTAAAATCTTCTCTTCCACAAAATAGTGATAATAATACTCTACTTTTCTAACATTTTCATGAACATTAAATACTGTATCTTAAGTTCTTTGCACTACATATGGTATATTATAACTGATCAATAAGTTACCTGCTGTTGTTGCTATTGTTTTTACTTTTACCTCTTGTTTTCTATTTTGCCTTGTCTTGGTTAAATAAGCGGATCATATATTTGATGCTGTGCCTTTTTAAGCTTTTGTGCTCTTGTTAACATTTTTTTCCTCTGCCTGGTATTATTCTAAGCATTCACTATATTTTCTAAATCTATTATATTCTAAATCTATTATAAATTAGATTCCCACAGCTTCTGAAAAATAATTAGTACACATCCTGTGGCTTAAAACAATAGACCTTTATTCTCTTACAATTCTGGAGATCAGAAATTTGAAATCCACATAACTGGGCCAAATTCAAGGTGTCAGCAGGACCATACTCCCTCAAGAGGTTGTAGGGGACAATCTTTTCCTTATCTCTTCCAGCTTCTGGTGGCTGCAGGTATTCCTTGTCTTGTGGTTATATCACTTCTGTCTTCAAGGCTAGCATCTTCAAACCTCTCTCCTCTCCATCTTTTCTACATTTTCGTGTGTGTGTGTGTTTGTGTGTGTTTAAAATAATCTTCTCTCTCTCTTATAAGGACACTTAATGTGACATTTAGAGTACACCTTGATCATCCAGGATAATCTGCTCATCTGAAAATCATTAACCTACTCACAACTTCAAGCGATACTTTTCCAAATAAGATGACATTTATAGGTTCCATGGATTAGAGCCTGATACACATAAGGTCCATTTTCAAGCATAACACACCCATCTTTTAAAAGCCAAATCATAATTTAGCTTTCCCATGTTTTTACAATGTTGACACTTCATTTTTTTCTTGCTTTCTTAAGATTTAATTTCATATTTGTTATTTTCTATTTTTTTGTTTAAAGATTTTATTTTTATTTTTTCTCCCCAAAGCCCCCAGTACATAGTTGTATATTCTTAGTTGCGGGTCCTTCCAGTTGTGACATGTGGGACGCCACCTCAGCGTGGCTCTATGAACAGTGCCATGTTCGTGCCCAGGATTTGAACCGATGAAACACTGGGCCACCTGCAGCGGAGCGCACAAACTTAACTGCTCGGCCACGGGGCCGGCCCCTATTTTCTATATTTTTGCTGGATTCACTAATGCAACTTAGGTCCTTGTTGCTTTAATGAAGTAGGAAGAACTCTGGACTCGAGATTACACACCTCACCCCAGGTTCATATCCAGATGAGTTATTTTGAGGAAGACACAAACTTGCTTAATCTCAAGTTTCTGAAATATCAACTGGGCATAATCTGCTAGCCTTAGAGAGTTATCATTGGACTTAAACATAATGTCAAAACTTCAAGGACCAGTCCCATAAAAAGTACCATTATTAATGTTTTTTAAAAAGGAATCTTTGAGGGTAAGGATAATTTGGAAATATTCCAGTATCCCTTGGTGAAGACAGCTACTCATTATTTCTTTAAATAGATAAATAAGCAATGACTAAATGAATGGAATATATTGTGCTTATGATGAAACTATGGCTCTATATTGGTTTTCCAATGTTTAAGTGGGGTGAGATTTACCATACCACCCATGATACTTTGTATTTTAGGGTGAAGTTAAGAGAAACGTCTTTCACCTTTGGTCCTTCAACTAGAACAGGATTTCTCAACCTTAGCACTGTGGACATTTTGAGCCAGACAATTTAGTGCTGTGGATGTCTTTCCTGTGTACTATAGGATGTTTAGTAGCATTCCTGACCTTTACCCATTAGATATCAGGACCACCCCTCCCCACATCTGTGAGAAGCAAAAACGTCTCCAGACACTGTCAAAACTCTTATAGAAAGCAAACTCACCTGAGTGTGGAGTCACTGGACTAGAAAGCTTCAATATACTGGAGCTCTAGTCTCCTCAGAGGAGCCTTCAGTATTAAATTTTCCTGTGTTTAAGAAGCATTTTCAGCTATCCAGGTGCTCACATTTTAGTCAGTTATCAGTTTGATCTCTCTCTAGAATCTACAATGTCCCTTTCAGAGACCTTGGATCTGAGGGCTTCAGCAACGCAAAATTCCCCCCACTTTAGCATGGATAACTAGGAGTACCCATGTCCTGCTGAGAGATAGACACACTCTTCATATCTAAAGACTGATTGTTTTGTTTTATTAGCACAAAGGGTGGATGCTTTCCATTCAGCTTCACAAAAAACTTGACATAGCAGATCTGTCTTTCCCTCCAAATGTCACTTCATAGGTAACACCTCTAGTTGTCTGGGAGGAATCAAGGTGCACTGGGTGCTCCTCAAAACATGTCTGAAATCAGCCGCATAAAGGTTTCTTTGTGTTTCTTTAAGTGGTTTTGTTTTACGCATGTAATCTGGTCACTCCCTTACTTTTAAAATATAGGGGTTGATATGTTTATCTCATTCTCTTACTATTAGCATCTCAATTTTCGGGTGAGGACCATGCCTTTCCTATGCTTGATGGGTCTCTTTCTTTGCACTTAATGGGATTTGGGGAAGTGTTCATGGCCAGTCATCAAAAGACCCACTGATTGGTTTCTGGGTGGACAGTAGTGAGCTAGTGACTTAACTAGGGGATTTTGCTGGAATTATTGGAAAAGGAGTTTCTTTCTGCTGAGATTTATCCTATGGACAGATGGAATCTCAAAACTCCTCATATCTCTCTTTGCCAAGATAAATATATGTAAATATAAACACACACTCATATATATACATAACTGGAAATGCATATTTTTGTATAATATGTTTATATTTCCAGTATTACCTTTCTTCATTAGTCAACACATTCTCTATAAATCTCATTTCTGAGTCTCCAATCATACCAGGGACTTTCCAGTCTCCATGTAATTGCTTATTTTTTTTCCTCTACCATCTTTCATTTACTGTTCTATACTTGATAAAATTCCTAATGTCGAGTTCAACTTATCTTCCTTTTCTCTGTTTTGTACTTAGAACACTGCCTAGCACAACATATTTACAGAGTAAATGCCTTTAGTGAATGAAGATTCTCTGATCCATTTATGAACAGAATTCCATTTGAACATAAATGCACACGTAACACATACCAGAGTCATTAACTTCACTCATAATTGGTTTTCCATTTACATGTTGACTTTCAAGATCTTCTAATTCTCAATACCTAGATAAATACATTTTTTCTTCTTTCCAGTTTATTCCACCATTCTATCACATAGAATATCCTGATAGTTTGATAAATTGCTTTGAGTTGGTTAAATCTAACTAGATAGCAAATATCATAATCCAATTTTATATACAATAATCTAGTATGTTGAAAGCCCAAACGTATTTTTCTTTGAGACATCCTGAGGAGGTAGAAAAACACATTATGTCATTTCATTTTTTGTTTAACTAACTCCTCAGTAGAACTGTTTAATTGCTCACATACATTTTCCCCCTGGGATTTGGACGTTAGTGTGTGTGTTCCTGGGATCTGATGTGAGATTGGAGAGCTAATCTCAAAAGACTCAAAGCAAAATATAAAAGATCTTGCATTATTCTAATGAATGATGGCCTTTCTAAGGGAGGCACAAATTTATTCTATGAACACAAAAGGGCTGCCGAAATGGATTATAGAAAAGGTAGCAATGGGTCAATTTTTTAATCTTTAACTGTCAAAATAGATTTTTCCAGTGAACAATGAACTGATGCTGAGAACAGTGTAGTAAGAAGGTGAATGAAAGAAAGTGATCTGGTAAGTGTTCTTAACATAATCCTAGTATATTAGAGCTGGATAGGATTTTAAGTGTTCATCGTCTTATAGTCAATTATTTTACACATAAGAAACTGATGTTTTGAGATAAACATGCCTAGAATGACACTTTTTGTCCTCAAGGTATTTTCAACAAAAACAAGAGCAACAAGATGGGCCTGGGCCCGTGGCACAGTGGTTAAGTGCGCATGTTCCACTTTGGCAGCCCAGGGTTAGCCAGTTCGGATCCCGGGTGCGGACATGGCACCGCTTGGCAAGCCATGCTGTTGTAGGCATCCCACATATAAACTAGAGGAAGATGGGCATGATGTTAGCTCAGGGCCAGTCTTCCTCAGCAAAAAGAGGAGGATTGGCAGCAGATGTTAGCTCAGGGCTAATCTTCCTCAAAAAACAAAAACAAAAACAAGAGCAACAACAAAAAAAAGCACATTTAACACATGATCTTCTTAAGACAATCCTCAGTATTATTGGATTCTGATTTGGAATCTAAACACAAACACAATTCTCATTATCTACTATTTCTTTTTAAAAGTTGGGTAGGTTTAAATATAAATTAAAGCTGACCCAATTTGTATATCATAATATTTATTTTATCTTATGGCAATGCATTGGAGTGAACAGTTATCAACACAAATAGAAAGACTAGGGTGCGACTAGGGGGTTGGCTTTAAAGGAATAGAAAACAAGTTTCAAAAGCAGTGACTAGGGCTCAATATAGAGAACTTACTGCAGGAATATGTTAATTTTCTGAACTCTTTCAGAAATTTTCATTCTCACCTGAAAATTGCATAGAAGAACAGATTCTTTGGCTCCTCTTTGGACTCCACTTAATTTTTTGTTTCTTCTATTCTTTTCTCCTTCCATTGTTCCATTTGGCTTTCATATTTCATTTTTGAATCCTGAAAGTTTCTTTCAGTCTTGAAGTGTGTAACATCCTTGAAAGATTCTTACAGGTAAATATTCTTCATATAATTTGATTTCTTTATTGCCTTTAATTCTGTGATTGGAAATAAGGGGTTTAGCAGAAAACAGCTTGCACAAAGAAGTGATTGTTCCCTAGGACTCAGATCCCAAGCTTATTTAAGCATAGTCCCTAAGATAAGATTTTCTTTGATGCTTACTTTTTAATAGTTATTCTTCATAATTATCAAAAGAGATGATGGCACAGTAATCACTGGATATAATTTTATCTTTCCCTCACCTTCACAGCAGTGGCCATTGCTCCACTCCCAGATCAACTGACAATCTTATGTCTCATATTTGTAGACATGTATAGATGAACGGTCACTCAATGACAATTGATAGTTTCGAAGGAGGAAGCCACATATATTTCAGCAAAAGAGAACTCCAAAAGAGTTGGAGTAGCTCAATGATGCTTTCTTTTTTAATTAACCCTTTTTTAGAGCAAAAAGAGAAACTTGGTTGATAATAAAATAATAAATACTAATGTCTAAGGAAGCTCAAACTTTTCTCAATGGTTGAATAATAATACTTAATATTTATTGAATGTTTGCTATGTGAAGAGCACTCTTCAAAATATTTTATGTGTAATTGCTCATTTAATCCTCATAATTACCTGCAGGCAATGTTCCTATAAAATGTAATTTACATATCAGAAAATGAAACCATAGAACTACTGAAATTTTGCTACAGTGCTACAAATATTAAGTGATAGATCCAAATTTAAACTCAGGCAGTCTGACTCTAGGGTCCATGCTTTTAATCATCACAACATACTGTCTCTATTACTGTGTCGAAAGAAGTAAACCTGCCTGTTCTAACTCATGCACTAAATGAAAATTGAAGTTAGTTTTAAACTGATATCCTTATATCAAATCTGGCACGTTGAGATTTTGGAAATAATATATTATTTACTCCAATCTTCTTCCTAAGTTTCACCATCTCTGACACATTTCCATCTCTTAGAAGGAATTGTTTATTGAAGAGTGCTCTAGCCCAGTGATGCAGAATTTCCAATCTCTGGCCCTCGCTCTTTGATTGCCGAGCTATGCAACCCTGGACTGGCTAAATGGCCTGAAATAATCAAGTTCTTTTCAATATAATTGAGAGATAGTGAATTATTAACATATTTGAAAAGGCTATGAGAATTAAATTAGATATGAAAGTCCATTGAAAATTACAAGATGAAAATATGTTAATGCCAGATATTCACATTTACCCAGAATTCAATTAATTTACCTAGAAACAGAAGAAAGGTAGAAAATAAACTTTGAGTAATAATG